TCTTTCAATACGCCACGCGAACAAAAACCTCTCTTAATTCCAATTCGTAAAACGTAATTCCATCCTCCCCTCTCCTTAGGAATTACCTTTATATCGTTCGATTTACGAGAGTTCGCGCTTCGGCCAAATTTCTCGATCAGTCATATTTCACGGTAATTAGTCGAGGAAGATTGTTCAGGGTCGCTCGGGAGAGGCCTCGTCGGAAGGCCTCGTATTCTTCGTATATTAAGAGAGTCCCTCGGAACCCACCATCTTTATGAATACGAAATGAGGGCGCGTTGGAGAGGGCCCGGCAAGAGAGTGGACGGCTAGAGCCGACTCGATCGTTCGACTCTCGCGGGAAAAGCCCTCGGTTTCGTAATAAATTGGGACGGAATCGTAAAGAAGGAAGAACGAAGGAGGAGGAGGAGGAGGGCAGACGAGAGGTCCGACCATGAAACACTCGGCTGGCTGCCGATCGTTAAAGAATAAAGAATGGTAATATTATGCCTCGCGGATGCTTCGAGAGAAAGAGGGAGAGAGAGAGAGAGAGGGGGGGGTTCGTGTTGGCCCCGAGACGTGGTTCGAAGAGAAAGGCGTGGAAACTACAAAGTAAATTCGTCGATATTAGCCCTCTCCTCGGGGATAGATTAATTTACCATGGTAATTTGGATGCGTTCGAGTACGAGTGCGCATCGAGGAAAGGATCGAACGATTTTTCGACGACTGGTATCTCGATATCTAGGAGTTTGTGCCTCCATGGTTAAAACTCGCCTGGCTCGAACGAGGGATCCTAAGAGACACGCCCTAAGAGGAGAGCGTGGTGGTGGGTTTGGGATGAGAATTTTAATTTAATTAAGATAGACTCACGTTATTAAGACCCACGTCCAATCGGGGAGATTAGAATTCCTTCCCGTGAACGGGAAGTCGGCTTCGTGAGTCGGCGACCTTTCCTTGGGAAAAGACTGGAGAACTCTCGAGTTCTCGGGTTCGACGGCTCGTAAATAATCGTTCGGAAATTTTTTCCATTTGGAAAGAAGAATAACGTTGGACGGAAGGAATGTCCACATATCGGATCACGAGCCTGTTATACTTTATATACCATATCCTGTTATTAATAACCGATATTTACACAACCCAGTGCACAATTCGTGTTACACATGATATATTCAAGTTTCCGCGTTGGACGATTATTTTGTATTTATGTTACCTTTGAAGAATATTTATCGTCGAATCGATCGTTTCGTGCATTATACATCTCTCCATACTTTGAATTACCAACTAATACGTCAAATTACGCGTTCAACTCGTCCATTCCACCACGTACTATCGATCCAATTCTCTTCAAATTCATGGGGGTAATATCGAAAGCGTTAGTTTGTATATCGAGTAAACGAATAAATTCCGAATAGATAGTTTCCCGACTAGGTCGAGATACGATCAAGAGTGTCGGCGAGGGCGTCGTCGAAGTAATAGAGAACGAGATACAGGGACTTGTCGTTCGTCGTGCACGGTAAATGCAAAACGTCAGTTTCGTGACAGCGGTAACATAGTATCCGTTGTATACGATTGTAGAACCGCGGTTCTCGACAAACGAAACGTGCGATTAATTTAATGCCCGAAGCCACGCGAGATCCGCGTGTAGGCGTCGCAAAATATCCCTTCGCTTTTGACGCGTTCCCCGCACAACCTCGATCATTAACGCGAAACAGTCTCGAAGCTTTTCTAATGAACACGTCAAATCCAAAAGCTCGACCTATGCTCTTGCGCACATATACCCGATTAAGAAACAAACTTCGAGCTTCGATTACCGGCAACTCCTTTACCCGCGAAACTTGCTCGATCGAATCTCTGGATATCTACATCGAACACGCGTTTTCTTTCACTCGCAAGAACTTTCGCGCATAACAGGTGGCAAACGATATAAAGGGTATCGCGTTGAAGCTATATGTTGATCGTTTCTTTCCCCTCTTTTCTTTCTCAACCCCTAATTTACTCTCCAATTCGTTTTCGAAATGGGGAAATCGAATAATTGGAAGGATTAAAATATTAATTGGAAGGAAAAAATTACGAGGAAAAAGAGGGAGGGGGAATTTTGGAATGGAGGAAAACTCGTGATAATCGTTAAAGTTTCGAATGTAATTCCGAATCGAAAATGGCTGGCACGCGGTGAACGGTGAACGGTGACGCAGAGTCTCTCCGAAACTGTCGTTATTTATGTGTTTGGTGAGGCGACACGGCGTGTGGGTGTCGAAACCCGGTGAGCGCCACAGGAGCTCGCGGGCAACGTGCCGCGTGCCCGCGTGGACGAGTACCGGCGAGTAGCAACTGTTCCCCTCCTCCTCGAACAAATGCAATCGAATCGTCTCCAATCGTCTCCAATCGGACCTTCGACTTTATTTCGATCGATTTCTTACATTGAACTCGAATGATCGGTTACATATAAGCGAGTTTCTTCACATCCCTGGTGGAAATTAATGAGCAAAGTCTGCAAAAGTTTTTAGATAGGGGAATGCGTGGAACATGGACGTCCCGACATCGAGAGATGGCATAATCCTGACGCTTCTTCGACGTGGAAGTGGAATGGCGAATCGTGAATCATTGGGCAAATTTGCGAGTGCCATCGCGTTCGGTTTGCAGGGGCGTGCATTTGAATAAAAACGACAGTCGTGCATCGGTATACGTTCGTAAGGGGGCAACAGGAATAATAGGAAGGGTGGACACTTAAGTGACATCGTCCCGCAAAGTACCAATGTCCCCTTTATATTCAAGAACATAAGCTCGCAAAGTTATTGGCCCATTCGGACCTCCTGCCTCCACGAAACACCGTCCCGTTTCTCATTCGCGTGTCTGATGGCGTTACTTTGCGCCCTCCAATCCCACCCTTTCCCTCCCCAACTTTCTCCCAAACCGTCTCTCTCTCTCTCTCTCTCTCTCTCTCGCTCTCTCTCGCTCTCTCTCTCTCGCTCTCTCTCGCTCTCTCTCTCTCGCTCTCTCTCGCTCTCTCTCTCTCGCTCTCTCTCGCTCTCTCTCTCTCGCTCTCTCTCGCTCTCTCTCTCTCGCTCTCTCTCGCTCTCTCTCTCTCGCTCTCTCTCGCTCTCTCTCTCTCGCTCTCTCTCGCTCTCTCTCTCTCGCTCTCTCTCGCTCTCTCTCTCTCGCTCTCTCTCGCTCTCTCTCTCTCGCTCTCTCTCGCTCTCTCTCTCTCGCTCTCTCTCGCTCTCTCTCTCTCTCTCTCTCTCTCTCTCTCTCTCTCTCTCTCTCTCTCTCTCTCTCTCGATCTTCTCTTTCTTTTCTTCCCCCCCTCCCCATCTCCAATCGAGTTATCTCTTTTGAGACATCCGCAAAACGACCACGAGCGTAAAAACGATCGATTCGAATCATCCATAATCTCGTATCCATCCGAGGGAACGAGTATACATCGTGTATAAATCGTGGTTTAAATCGACAACAAAAGATTCTTCTCGATTTATTGATGAAATTACAAGGTAAAGATAAATATCGAGAACAAGTGTTATAACACGTGTATCGCGATTGCTTTTAAATTAACCAGCGTTTCTTATATACGACTTTTAAGTAATCGCATCCGAAAGTCGAATCGTTTCTCTTAAACCGTATAAATGTTAATCGAGCGTGGTTCGAGGCCTGCTCTTTAAAATAGTCGAAAAATCTTTTTCGTAATGAAATTTCCTTCGGGGGGTCAGACGCATCCTCGGGTTGATTTAAAATTCTAGCTAGGAAGATTCGAAATAATGGATCGGTCGGTTCCATCGGACTGCTAGATTCCCGTATAAAGGCTGAAGGAGCGTTTTGGTCGGCTACCGGATAGCGAATATATATATATATATATATACATATACATACATATATATACCGAGTATCCTAAAGCAGGAGGAGAAGAGTTCCAGGGGAGTAAATGACAGGCTCCGCTGGCCGCTTCGGGCCCCAGAGATGATTATTTTGATTAATTTCTCCCGTCATTCGGTAGCCGAGTCGTGCCGCCGATATATTCACGTGAAACGCGATTCGCTTCTAATTTCGTTGTAATTGAAATCTATGCGGAATCAATAATGGATAAAAAACAAGAGGAAATGGTATCCGATTGGCGGATAAAGAGGATGAAGACAAGTGAAAAAATAGCCGAAAATAAAGATTGGATGTGAAAAAGGCGAGACAGTGGCTACGATGACGTAGTTGTTCGACTCGTCATTCTTTCATCGAGAAATTACGTACAACGATCATCTCGCGTCTGGGTAATTCGATCTAATTCCGCGATCCACCGGTGATTTTGGCTATCTTCCATAATCGAGCAGACCCGCCTTACGCCAAGAAACCGAACCCGTAATGGGCTGGAATTAAGAGGAAACGTGCTCTTCGCTAATCTATTAATTCCTATACACGAAATTACCACCGGGCGTCGACAGAAACGAGTTTTCGCGAAACCGCTTCTACCGTGTATTCTCCTTTTTTGCCTTTTTCGTTCCCTTTACTTTCTCTTCCTTTTTCTCTCTTTCTCTCTCTCTATACCGTTCCTCTCTCTTAATCCACAACGTGTGTTATTACGTAAATCACGATTATTTACTACTTACTTTCGAAAACTTACTTTTGTCGAAACTTGTACGCGCGATATCGAAACAGAAGAGGAGATAGAACATCTTTTCGAATCGTGCATTGGCATTTCCACTTCACGAAAATTGCCGGAAATCTTGGTTTCGAACGACGAAAGTCGAGAGATAAGAATGCATTCTCAAGGATTCTGGCTAGAACCGAGTGTAGAGATCGGGGCAAACTTATCTTCCAAAGAGAGGGAACATTTGTCCCTTGTCTGACTTATCGTGGCTACTCTTCTATTCTGACTAATAATTCCATTTTCGAATATTGCACGACGAGAAATAGGTTCGTTCTTCGCTGGAAAAAGAAAGAAAAAGAATTTTTAAAAGAACATATATATATACATCACTTTTGACTTTTTTTCTCCTTCGAAAGATATTGAGATAGATGAGATAAAAAATAAAAAGGCAGTATTGATTCGCAATTATTTGTATTTATCTATAAACAATTCGATGGTTCGATCCACGTTAAGTAAAAGTTTGGTTGACGCGCGTGTAATTAATGTAAACGAATAACAACAATTACAAGAAGGTTCTAGACAGGGTTCGCGATATCGATCAAGTTCTCGAAAGGCGGTCGGTGAAGAAAATTGCTCACATTTCTTAGGATAGGGTTGCAGAGTGCAACACGCGTATTTCGTTTTTCGAAAGCAACGAGCATCAAGCTTTCAGGCCCTAAAGAGCAACAACGAAGAACGGACAGCAGATCCGGCGCTGACGCTCATTACGATGATTGGCAGATTCAATTAACGAGCAGCCGGGCTCCAGCACGGCGGGGTCGCCTCGGCTTAACCTCGACTAAATATTATTAATAATAATCAGCTCATTACCGGCTCCATTAATTATCCGGTTGTATATACGAGTTATACAGCCTCTAAGAGCGCACCAGATTCCATAAGATTCGAACCGATATCCTCGATATAATCGATACGAAACAGTTCGCTATCTCGTTTATTAGTTAGCAGAGTCGTTAGGATCGCGCTAATCGTAAGATCGAAACGTGCCAATACGTTGCCAACGAGTTTAAAAAATACTTTACAACAGGATATTAAATCGGCGGAAAGGATTCGACGATTCTCATTTTCCCATTAAATCGGATCATCGAGCGTTAAAATCCTTCTGCTTCTTTCAACTAAAATGCTCCTTTCAACTTTTTTTCCTCCAAAATGATCTTGAGATTATATACAGTCAGGATTCAATGTATCCGATCGATGCTTTCAATGTATCCAAACGATCCTTGGTATCGATCGTGAAACTGCTCTCGAACTGTAACAACGAAAGAAAGTGATGTATTCCGAAATAGTTTCGTATGGTTAGTAGGACTGGAATATCCAGCTTAAACGGCAGAAGGAGGGAAAAGAAAAAGTGGAATATTAATCCATTTAACAAACTCATTATCGATGAGATATATCGAACGTTTACTGTGCGCGTCGGCGGTGCGAACGTGCTCCTCCTATCCTAAAGGAACCCCGGTAATATTAGCGGGTTGGCACCCCTGCGGCTTGATTTACGGGCGCGCACTAACGAGCCTCGGCCTGCGTCAAACGCGAAGAGGTGGTGCAGCTCCGTTCACCAACTCTCGATCGTCCAACAGCGCTGACTGCACGATGCACCACGATCGGCAGTATCGCCTAAATTTATTCCATGCCCATCAACCGTCCAACTATCTAAGTNACGATGCGAACAGTCAATTCTTCGATGTATCATAAACAACGTTCTATTCGCGA